TAAAAAGAAAAAAGATTTTTAATTGCAAAGGTGCTACATTGCAGTGATATTGTTAATATTGTAAATCCTCCTTCTAAGTGATAATATTGAATTTTTTGTTGGTAATCAAACAGACATCTTCAGTACATCAAGTTCTTCTTTTCATAAAGTTAAACCGCTTTTTAACTCAATACTGCAAAGTTATGCTCATATAAAAAACAAAGTGACAGGTTATAGAATAATTGACTGTTCTATTTTGTCAGATGTTGTAAGCGTTCTGAGTTGCCCAACTTGCTCCCAAACAACATTAGCAGTAATTGAAAACATTAGCAAAAAGCGAGGACTTGCTTTTGAACTTTCAATTTTTTATTCAAAATGTAAGTATCAAAATGACTTTTATACTTCTAAATTGTTAAAAAAAAAGGAAGCTTTGGTATAAATACACAAACAATATACACAATGAGAACTCTTGGAATAGGACATTCTGGAATTCAAAAATTTACAATTCTCATGGGCATGCCAAAGCCAATGATGCAAAAAAACTTTGGTAAACTTTTTTTAAAATAGCTGATATTACAGAGGATATTGCACAGGAAACAATGGCTGATGCTGTAGCTGATTTAAAACAAAATTGTCGAAATGATGATGAGATTTTAGATATTGGTGTATCGTGTGACGGCACATGGCAGCGTAGGGGTTTTTCCTCATTAAATGGTGTATTTGCAGCACTCTCGTTGGACAGTGGGAAAGTATTAGATGTTGAGGTAATGAGTCTGCAGGGGGTGCTCTTTAAATCAGAACCTTGCTAAAAAAGATCCTACTGCTTATGTCCAGTGGAAAAATTCCCATATTTGCAAAATGAACTATATTGGTTCTGCAAGTGGAATGGAATGCGAAGGAGCCAACCACATTTTCCAGCGATCTATTAAAAAACACAAATTAAAATACATTAACTTTTTGGGTGACTGAGATAGCAAAAGCTACAATAGTGTCAAGGATGTTTATCCTGGCACTCAAGTGACTAAATTAGAATGTGTTGGGTACTACCAGAAGCGTTTTGGAACCCGATTTCGAAAATTGAAAAAAAAAGTGAAAGGACTTAGTTTTAGTTGCCATGAAATCATCAGCGCTAGCAACTCTCTTTCACGTAGCACCATCGAAAGTTAACAACTGGCATACCCTCATTGCCCAACGGGTGCAAGTAGGACCAATACCTACAAGCCAGGTCCTGAACTTCCCTTAGTTTTTGTATATTAGATCAAACCTGTGTTTGAGGACCTTACTAAAGAAGATGAGCTTCGAAAATGTCTTCATGGCAAAACACAAAATGCGAATGAGTCTTTTTATGGAAAAATTTGGAATCGTATACCGAAGACAAAATTTGTCTCTTTGACAGTGCTCAAGTTCGGTGTCTACGACGCTGTAGCAAATTTTAATATTGGAATGAAGTTGTCAATACTAATTTACGAAAAACTTAACATGATTCTGGCTATTTTACAATAAGTGGTTCAAACGCTATAAACAAAGTTTGCATTAAATGGTTGATCTATCAAGGAAGGTCACATAACAAATTGCTTCTTCAAAAGTTAAGGTCTAAAAAAATTAAGAAAAATGACAAAACCATAGAAAAAGAAGGTAAAACATATGAAACAGGAGGTTTTTAATTTCAATTAGAGTCTTGTATGTTATATTTGGTATATTTGTAGATTTTTTTTTATTTTTTTTATTTTTTGCGCGTTTTTTCAGTTCAAGGTTTTTCAATATGCCAGCCGCTATTACAAGAGATCCACTTGGGCTTTTTGTCTGAAATTTTCAGCACACCTTTATTTTAATAAGAGCTGTGTTTTAAGTGGAACAGAATTTTAATAAATTAAGTAAAAAACCAGTATGGCTAATTTATATTTTAATAAAATTATCTTTTTTCTGATATCAACTTTGGTGGAGAGGTCCTCAGACCGAAAACATTTTTTAAAAAATCTGTTCCATTTAAAACACTCATGCATCTATTCTAAATGTGTTACCAAAGTTTTGCCTTTTTTATTAGTATTTGCTAAATCTTGGCCGGCGCAAATCCTATTTTCTGCTTATTTTTAGGGTTTTTTGGGGTATATGCAATACCCGTTGACCGAATTTTTTTTTGTGTGTAAAATTTCTGTTTTTATTAGAATGTTTGTTAGATTATTTCAAAAGTTTATTTCTATTGTCTATATTTAATAATGGGGGGTGATATCCCTTAAACTTTATTTTTGTTTAGTATAAAAGTAATAAATAGATTTTTTCTAGTTCTGACACTTTTGTATAACTTCCGGACACCCCCACTCCTATTTGCCATTCTGTTTATTTTCTTAGGAAGAGAGGCGCATTATATTTAGTAGCCCACGGGTTTCGTAAAACGGCCCTGGATATATGATAATAAATAATCATAAATAATGTAAAAAAAGAAGATAAAAAATCAAGATTATTACTTAAAAAAGTTATTACTTTTTAACTAAAAAGCCTTGGACAAAGGAAAATTAGATTCTTCTCTAATCAGTGAGATAAGCATAAGTTTAATATCAAGAAAACGTGGACTGTTATTAATTGAAATGCACCAGGTATCCAAGTCTGTGCCGGTTTTCTGGATTCAAGTCGGGTACTTTAGGATGTCAACTACGTGGTCTATAGTCAGCGCATGTATGACCACATTTAAACTCTAAAACTCATAGGTGCACAGTTGGAAATGAATTAGTAGATTCCTTTGACACTTTCACCGTTTTTTTATAAAATTTCTATAGATGATAAAACGAAGAATTTCATCACAGCACAAAATTAGGTTTTTTTCATTTTAACAAAATACACTGACACTTCAAGTAGCTTGTAAACAAAGAATAAACTGACAAACAAAAATATAATTTTTTTTGTGTGTTCAAATAGAACATAAAATATTTAAATAACGTATAAATTTGTATTCCTCTGCTAGATAATAGGTGTCAACTTGCTAAGAACAACCTAAAACCAACCTATAAAACTGGCTTGCTAAATAGAGAAATAACCCAAGGTGTAGTATTTTTATCGGTCTACTTTTTGGACTGTCTTTATGCGTACTTATCATATCAGCTTAACCAAGAACACTATAAAAGCTTGTAGGTTTGTTGTTCCGTAATTAGCGACACTAACTCAATGCATGTCAAATACGCAAAATCACTTTAAGAAGGACCGTCATATTCAAGTTCACTTTAAGGGATTGCAATTCGATTTGAAATTTAATGAGTGGACGTCAATTCTGAATTACAATAAAACATTTTGTGCATTACTGCTGATGGAACTTCCATAATGAGGATGTTTAAGTAATTGTGACTAGCAGGCTTGCTTGATGCATAGCATTCAAATGGGTGCGCAAGATATTTTGTACAAAATACTTTCAACTTCTACCAAAAAAGACTTAGAAGGATTCTTGTCAGATGCAATAGCAAGAATACCTTTAAAATTGACGACCGTGATGAAGAATATACAAGTACTGGCAATGACGTAAACATAACCAATAATAATAAAGAAGACTTTTCCAGATTATTGAATATTAGGAAACTAATGGTTTGCAGTCGTTAATTGCTAAAGTTTTTTTGTGAAATTGCTTGAACGATCTTCAAAAAAAAGCTTGACATATTGAGTTGAATTAATACAAAATAGCAAAAATACCTATAATTTTTTCGGACGTTTTCCAATTTTCAAAAATTTGTGAACGTCGTTTCCGTATAAAAACCAAAAACGTTTTATATAGAAATGATTATAAGGCTCCATGAAACCAGTACACAAATATTTTTTTTGGGTGATTTCATGCTATTTAAAATTTTTTTATGTGTACTTTTTTCAAATGTCTATTATATTAAATACTTTGGAAAATTCAGAAAAAACATTGTGGATTTTGCATAGTTTTGGACTCAATTTTTAATAAAATTGTAGTTAAAATTAAAAAATGTTTTTCTACTTTTTTTCACGGTTTAAGGGGAGCATAGGTTTTGATAATAAATGTTTAATAGCAAATTTTTGCTGGGGATTAAAAAAACGTCGGAGAAATAAGCTTAAACAAATGTAAATCACATAATACAATAGTAGGTAATTTTTACTTTTTACAATTTTTTTACGAGTTCGATCCCGCCACGTCCCTAGTAGTAGCAAGCTAAACTTGTTTTTTCGCGCAGCGGCCTGTTTTGTCAAGGTACGTGTTTCGTAGTTATAGAGTTGAGAGAGGGTTGTAGCCACATGTGACTAAAACCCTCCTCAACTATATTGGCCTTATAGCGTTGGGGAGGTAAATTAACAAACAAGCAAAAAACAAAACAAAATAAAAATGTGATCGTATTGTTATTACTTCGTTTTTAAGGGTTGTAGATATAGGGTGGGGGGGGGGGGGAGAAAGCACTTCCTAAGAAATTTTTAACTTATAGACGGACACCCCAACATCCCCATAAGCCAATTTTTAACTTATAGAGATTTTTTCAGGTATATAGTTGGATAAACGTTCATTTTATTTCTACAATCGCCTCTGACTAAGATAATATATAGGTTAGATTAAAAAGATGCAGCATGTGTCAAAAAGATTTAATTGAAACTTACTGAGATAAATGCAAATAAGTTCATTTGAAAGAATTTAGCTTTAATTTTCATTTTTTTATAACAATGTGTGAATTCATTCTATCATATTTTAAATTAAAAAACTAATAATTGCGATTGTACAACATTAATCTAATACTAGGTTAAAAAGTTAAAATTTAAGTTTTTTTAGGTAAATGTTGTTTATTAAACTAGATGCAAAAAAAGATATAATAAACTTCGACATATGTAGTAGTAACAGCATTCCCCGTACTAATTTATTAACGAAAGTGTACAAATAAAATATGATAAAAAATGATCAATGTAAAAGATCAAATCAAATTAAATGTAGAGTGTTCCTGAAGATTAAATTGTTACTAATTATTTTTCTATTTAATAATCTAGTTCTTTTAGTAGAATAAATAGCAAGATACATAGTAAAATAAACTTACGAAAACAATGCATAAATTTGAACACAGAATCTGTAATATACCCTTGATGTTGAAAAGTGTTTTACAAAATTATAACGTTGCTTAAACTAAAACGTATTTAAATCATTCTTACGCTTAAATCAAAATATTTTCTGCTATCATTTTAATATATTTTTAACTTTGATTCGTTAGATTAACCGCATTGTTCCGGATTTATGGTTAGATTATTTAAGTATATTAGATAATTGTTTTTAAAAAGCATTGTTTATAGAAAACCATACAAATATATAATATATAAAGATATATATTGTTTATATAATAATATATAAAATGATATTATTTAATAATTAAATAATATATAAAGACTTAATATAAACTTAATATATATATTTATATACGTAATATATAAAGACTTAATATTATTTTATAATTAAATAGTAATGTGGAAGATGTCGCAATTGACAAATTTTAGGTTAGTGCATATTCAATAATTTCAGGTCAATTTTATTTTATTTAATCAAAAGTTATTAAGAAATATTGTAGAAACTATATCGTTGTAAGTTCTATATAACTCTATTATAGCAGCCATGGCGCAAAGGTAGCGCACTTGCGTCAGAAACAAAGAATCCGTGGTTCAAACTCCACCTCTGGGCAAGTTTTGAGACATCTGTTTGGAAGAAAGTGCGAACTTCCAATTAAATGCTCATTCGTGGTGCTCTGTGATAAAACCGTTAGGATTCTTGGAGCATCTAAATAAAAAAAATCTATAAAGGGGAGAACATTTTCTATAAGAACACTCAAATAAAGTTTAATTAACGTTATACTAATGTAAATATAAGTTGGAAAAATACCGGTGTTTTATATTAATGTAAAATATTGATTGCAATTGTTTTATATTTAATGTTAATATAGTTATACAGTAATATTTACATAATTCTGAGCCGAAGCCGTTTATACGTGGTCTCGTATCATGATTATTATATGAATATAACCGTATAGTTATATTAACATTAAATGTTAAACACAATTACAATCAATATACAAAGTTAGTATAAGGGTCTTTAACCCCGTACAAAGGGTTAGAAAAATAGTTTTGGGGATTTTCAAACTAAAAATACAATAAATGTTTTAAAAGAATTTTTTTAAAGATGTATTATAAATTCTTTTGTAATATAAATTTACAAAAAACTTAAAAATAAGCAATTGTTTAACAATCACTTGCTTCCTCAATAAATATTTTGCTACCATTAACAAATGGAGAAAACTTTAAAATGCTTCCTATTTGATCTTTTATTTGTGCTTGCGTCGAAGAAACGTGCATTAGCTAGATGACTTCTAAAATACAATATGAAATAGTTGTAAATAAAATATATTTTAACCGGGTGACAGTTAAAATATATTTTCACATATATATATTCACAACTGACTACTTGTTTGATTTTTAACGCTAATCTTCAAGGTTCAAGACTAATATATATCTAAGAATACAAACATATGTAAAAAAGAAGGGATAGAAAAAACAATATTGAGCTATTATTAACGTACCAATTATTGCTTTACACAACTTTTTATCTTCGAATGATACCTTCTTTATATCACCACAAATTTTGCCTTTCATATTCAACTTGGTCATAACATGATGCTCCATAACTCTATAAAAACGGTTCTTTATTTTTTTATAAATGTTTTATATTCAAAGTTTCGACATCAAATTAAAGCTAAAACCTGTAGAGGAGAACATAAATGAATGGGGCAGTTTTTGTAAAATACTTTTCAAAAGTTGATAAAGTTGTTTAATTTATACATTGAAAATTATTTGATAACCATTAACTCTCACACTATGATATACTTCTCGCACCAAGACAAAAAAACTGGTTTTGCAAGGAGAAATGTTCTATTAAATTCCATTAATGTTATGTTTGGCCCATCATATTTAGACTATGTTCAGAATAATGATTTGGCCTGTTGAATTGTTGTGTTTAACATTCTTACCACAGGAGTTTGGATATCCAACTAACCTTAGATGCTTGTAGGTAAATTTAAATTTCAAATTTGCATTCAATTCATTAATTGCGTTCAACTCATTAAGGTTCTCCCCAAACATTAATATTAAAATTATTTTTTTTTCTAAATTACTTTTCTTGGGCTATATTTTTCTATAAAGTTTACTCACAACTTAAACAGTTTGATTATCCAGAGTTAAACAAAAACACATACCTGATCATAACATTTTTTGTATTTTCTTTAACAATTTTTCCACCTGCTTTTCTGAGGGGACAAAGCTAAAATATAAATAAAAGTCTAGTGAAAAGTTCATGTTAGAATAAGAGAGGATTAGATTTATTTGGTTTTTTTTCACAGTTGTTCTATAAAAGCAACCAAATATAAGACAAAATTATATAAAAAAAAATACAAAACTGTGAAAAACTCTACAAAATGTAAATAGCAATCAGGTCACTAAGATAATTTTCGATTTATAAGAAGGAATTTATCTTTTACGCCATATTTTGGTAAAATGTGAGAGCGATTTAAATAGACTCATCAAGAAAACGATAAACTTAAATAGCATTCTATTAAACAGACAAACTTTAAAAATAGAAACTATTAATATCAATTACCAATTTACTGTACTCTCCGTTGTCTTTTAATCTGGTTTCAAGTTCATAAAATTTTTCAATCTTTTTGAAAATGGTTAAGCTTACACTTTCTGACATTTTATTGGCACATTTGCAACACTTTTTCTCAAGAAGTAATTGAAGTTATATGAATAATACTGAAAACCATTCGCCAATAATAACTCATACTTATCAGGGTGTTAAATTGAAATAAATTTGATACAGCGTTGTGACGAAATTGGGAATTTGTCAAAAAATTTCCCATTTATATCCCCTCCCCTCTCCACCCTCCCTGAGATTAAAATGTGTTATGGAAATGTGTGGGGTACTTTTCTTATATTCTTTCTTCTTCTACTCCACTTTAGCGCTGCATAAATTGATTGGACAGCGCCAAAAATAAAAAAAAATACCGTCTGTAACATTTATTGAAGATGAATATGAAATCAATACAAAATTAAAAGTGGTTTCACAATGACAAGGCAAGCTCCGATTTCCAAAGATATATTCAGAATTATATATTTTTACGTTATAAAATAATTAGTGAGTATTAATTAATTATTTATTAAGATAATATATTTGATTTACTTTTAAACTTAATATAACGTTGCCGCTTTTATTTTAAGAGTATTTTTTGGAATATATATATATATATATATATATATATATATATATATATATATATATATATATATATATATATATATATATATTATATATATTACTGGTGGGCATTAAACTAGCAATTTTAAAAGTAATATAGGGATTTATGTTCAATGAAAACTTGCGCATAAGAGAGCTAATATTAGCTCTCTTATGCGCAAGTTTTCATTGAACATAAATCCCTATATTACTTTTAAAATTGCTAGTTTAATGCCCACCAGTAAAATATATATATATATATATATATATATATATATATATATATATATATATATATATATATATATATATATATATATATAAACCTTTTTTATGACGCAATTTATAATATGATGATGTATAGGTTTGTCCATAAAGGACGTCAAACAGAACTTGAATATTAATTAGAAGTAGAAGATCATTATAATGATCTTCTACTTCTAATTAATATTCAAGTTCTGTTTGACGTCCTTTATGGAAAAACCTATACATCATCATATTATAAATTGCGTCTTAAAAAAGGTTTTGAAAAAAGTACACTCAAGCTTGTAAGTTTCATATTTCACATTTATTGCGAGTTCAATTCTATAATTAATAGTGGCGGATTAAGACTTCTTGGGGCCCGGAGCTATTTTTGTTTTTAGTGGCCTTTTTATGGGCCAGAGCCTAAGAATGACTATATCAAAAAAAAAAAAAAAAGGTCCTCTAAAATTTTTGGGGGCCCCTAAATTTGCGGGGCCCGGGGCTATAGCCCCCCTTGATCCGGCACTGAACTAATATTAACTTTATTTATACATAAATTGCGAAGCGAAATAAAGTTGCAATTACAAGGTCTCAGCAAAAACAACAACAAACGTCGTATAATTACAAAAGAATTACTAAAGATTGCAAGCGATTGCATGCTATCGTGGCAACAAACAATACCAATAATTATTTTTTCATGGATTGTTATTATGACTATGGTTCATTGAAACATTAAAATTTGCTTCTATGTTTTAAATTCAAGCAAGCAGTGAATCTAGTTTTTTTGTTTTTTAAATTTCTAGTACCAGTTTGTAGTAATAAAAAAACATTCTTGTTATTAAAGGTATTTAATTTACATTTTAATATACGTATTAAATTTATGTTTTAACTATAAGCAACCAGTAAAAAAAAGAAATCTATTTTTCTTATTAAATAAATATCTAGAATTTGTTTAATATAATCAAAAATCATTTATTTAACTTATTTAACTTTTCCGCCAAAAATTATTTGCAAACTTTAAGAAAGGAATTTTTTTTGCGAGCGATTTTAGGGATTTTCGGAAAATCCTAATTCTCAAAAAGTTTTTATCCAAGAGACATTTTTGCAGTTTTGCAAGCGCGTAGTTATACTAATAGCCGCAAAGTTATTTCAAGTTTTAAACAATAAATTATAATTTTTTATGTTATTTTTCTATTAGTTTTTAATAGTAATTAATTTTTCATGAGAATGGGATTTTTCAATTTTAAATTGGAAATTTTAATTTTTATAAGCATTTGGGAATACCGCGTTTGACAGGCCCCCATAGGGCTAGTTTACACCCTGCTTATGCAAAAAATTATCTAAAAAATAACAAATATTTGGCTTGTTATCACCAACAAATAATGCTACGATAAATGGTCTCTCTTTGTCAAACATACATAATATAGGCCGAACCTGTGCGTTTGATGACTTGAATAAGAGAAGACCATCTACATTAACAGCTAGAGAAATTGTATTTGACTTAAAACAATTATACTGGTTGACTGCTAAAGTTCTTGATATGCCATTTATAATACCAAGATAAACATATTCACCTCCACATTTTAACTTGCTTGGAACATTCCTAGGAGTATTTAAAACTTTCCTTGTGCATACTGGTAAATTATCATGGTAATCATACTGGTGTAAA